GGTCAACACCAACACAGAAATGTATATTGCAGGTTCCTAAAACTTTCCCAAGAAACATATTTCAAGTATTTAATTTTATCACAGAGGAAACCTTTTAGAAAGTTGTAATCAACTAAAGAAAATCTGCCTTTGAATTTGTTTAAATGCAGAAAGGAGGGTTCACCTTACATACTTTTCCTAAAACTTTACATCTCTCCTTTTGCCTAAATCTTCACCATAAAGAGCTTCTGAGAAAATGTGTTGAGGTGGAAAAAAGGGGTATTGAGAACTGACAAACAAGTGAGTATTCTCTTTATTTAAGTGACGGGTGTTGGGACTATGTTTACAACACGTGAAACATGTCTAGTTATTTAGAAGAGCCTCGTGCGCCCTTACGCATTGTGATGAGGCCCACCTGCTCTTGACATTGCACTAGGCCAAGGTGTCTAGATAGTGTCCTCTAGTCTGTATGACCTCTAGTCACCTTTATGTGACTTACTAAAAGGCACCCCTGCCACCTGTTGGAAAATTGCTGCAGTATGATGATTTTGTTAGAAGGCTCTTTGTTGCCTTGTGACAGACGCTTGTCATGATAACTACATGAATCGATGATGTGAATAGCACCCCCTCAGACATGGCATCATGGTGTAGTGCATGACCTATACCATCATATGAGACATTTGCAAGTAGATAAAAAATAGAAATCACCATGGCAACACCTACCTTTAACATGAACATTAGAAACCATGCTCATTGCAATAATGCCTGGGAAGTTCCCGTTCAGCAAGTTGGTGGTGCTGAAATATGGAGGTAGGGTGTGAGGTGGGGAGGATTCTTTCATTGATAGCTTCCATTATTGAGAACAAGAGCCAGCCTATTGCTCTTTAAATGTGTTTCAGTCCGTTAAATAGAGCCTGCAAATTCCAACTACTTAGCCAAATGGAAAAGATTCTCTGTTTACAGAGAAAACACAAAGCTTGCTTCTTCCCCATCATTAAGCAGGCTGAGTATACTTAGCAGAACTTTTCCATTTAGGTATCCAAGTCAAGGCTATCAGTGACTTTTTCCTTGAAATCTAAACATTTTAGAAACATTTTGCAGGGAAAACTGTTCACAGGCCTGTTTAAAAAAAATCAAATAAATAGTTTAGGGGTTTCCATCTTGGAATTAGAATGTTTATTTAAGAAACTCTAATAAAGCCCTCTTTCAAGCCCATGAAAATTATAGTCAGAACCAAGTGGTAGACTAAGGATCCAGGAAATAGCTATTGATTTGTGAAGGACAGAGGGAAAGAAAAAGCCAGGAAAGGAAGGAACTTGATGAGAAACTTTTAGTAATGGTCCTTATTTCCTTCAACTTTGAAAAACCATTTCACTGGGAGTAGAATTTAAAACACTCTCACTCTGTGACTACCTCTACCAGGCAATAGGTAGTGCCCAGGGCATGGCTCAGGCTGGGCTTCTATGAGTAAAGGCATGAACGTAGGTGGGGCTGACGCGCTGATTACAAGACTTAGCACAAAAAGGATTTTCAATGCGGGCAGGCAGGGCAATATGGGAAAGTCCAAAGCATCGTGCCCAAGGGATTGGGCAGAAATCAGGAAAGAATCTGAAAACTGGAAAGAAGAGACCCTGATTAGTAAGGGAAGATTGTGCCTCAAAGATTCCAAAAGGATGCCAGAAGTGGACCTTTTTATTGGGTGCTCACAAGTGAGCCATAAGCAGGGAGAAGCCCATGGAAGAAAACTCTAACCTGCCTTTTTATTTACTTTTCAAAACTTCCATGGTGAAGAAATCAGAAAATAGTGAGGAACACATGGTATCAACGCATAGGGGTGGGTTACAAAAGATAGCCAAAAGTTCTATGAAGAAATGCCGAGGGCATGGGCAAAGTATATTTTGATCAAAATGACAAAGCTGGACAGCCCCTGGAAGTAAATGTAGACATGTAAAAGTTCTGAAGTAGCTACATTGGAGATCAAAGGCTCTGAGTGATTTAGAAGAAAAAAGTAGCTTAGTCAAATATCATTGATGACATTTAACATTTTTACCTTGTGCATGTAATTATTCTATATAAATATAATCTGAAATTGGTGACCCATATAAGGTTATCTAGTAAATGAGTATGCTTAGAATTCCATACTTGCTTGTTCTCTGCATTTCCAGTTTCAGTGAAGTAATGATGAGGGATATAGGTATCCTTACTGTCCTTACTATCACTTATATTTTTTGATTCAGTAATGATAGAAACCCTGTGGATGTTTAGGTAGACCCATAATCCCCAGTTGAGCATTAGTTATTGTGTGGTTAATGTTGTGTGACTTAGTATACCCACCAGCTGCATGGTCAGGGCAGTAGAAAAGAAACTTCCCCTGGAAGGACAGTCTTTTTGAAATATTCAATGACCTTCCCTATTAGTAGATGTGACTCTTCAGTGTCTTCAGTTATTATGCAACCAAGAAAATTAGTAACTTTACCCTCTGGGCATGAAGTGGAACTGGATGGAAAATAAAGATAAGAAATCAGAAACCTCCTCTCCATGTGTCTACTGAAGGGATATTAAAGTCATTGGCTCTCACCCTTGGCCTCACACTAGAACCACCTGGGACTTTTACAAATTCTAATACCCAGACCATACCCTGAACCAATAAAATCAGAATTTCTTACGATGGGACCTAAGCAGCAGTGGTGTGTATGGGGGTCTAGGGAAAGTGGGATGAGTCAGGGTGGGGGTGTGTATCCACAGATAGTTCCTTTTGAGAATACCTGAATTAAATGAAATAAGACAAGTGCCTGACATATATTTAGTGACCAGTGAGTATATGCACCACCCTTGAATTGCTTCCTGCTACTCCATCTCTCCCTTTTGTGCCTGTCCCTATAGTGTCCGTCTTGGTCTTTCCAAGTGTATCATAGGTGACTTTGCCTCAGAATTTCGAGAATTCATTTTTGACTTCATGCTGACGAAGGCAGAACTCTCTTCTTTTCTCACTTTTTCTTTCTGTATTTTATTTTTTTTAGAGACAAGGCCTCACTCTGTCTCGTGGACTGGAGGGCAGTGGCACAATCATAGCTGACTGCAGGCTTGAATTCCTGGGCTCAAGCTATCCTTCTGCCTCAGCTCCCAGAGTAATTGAGACTATAGGTACACCACCATGTCCAACTAATTTTATTTTTTATTTTTTGTAGAGACAGGGTTTTGCTTTGTTGCCCAGGCTGGTATTGAACTCCTGGCTTCAAGCCATCCTCCCACCTCAGTGTCCAAAGTTCTGGGATTACAAGCATGAGCCACTGCACCTGGCCCTTTTCTCACTTTTAATATACCATCTCATTATTTATTTTGTTACTTTATCTTCCAATATTACTTAACTTCTTTCACCTATAAGCCCCAGAATCTGTGGGTTTAGGAAGAATCATTACTTCTGTGTCTCTAGGGATTTAATTTAGCCAAACCTTCTTGAGTACTTCAGAAAAATCAGGGTGGAAATAAAGTTTAAGGAATAAAGGGAGTTTTTAAAAATAGAATACAACTCATCCATTTCAATTCAATTCAATTCAAATGCCTTTCTCTTTTCCAAGCATTTTTAATAAGCTCACTTAAGAGTCTTGTTGAAAAATAAATAAATTACACTTGTTTTCATTAAGAGAAAAGATCTTTTTCCATTTTTGCTGGTATTGTTGAAGGAAACAAAAAGGAGTCTAAAACTTGGCAAAGGAGTACATTATTAGTGACATATTGGTCACAGATGTGCTGGTAGAGCTACATTTTCTTCCTGCCATTAGGATTTTAAGTGCCCACAAATTACATATGAAAGTCCAGATAACTTTCTTACAAAAGAGAAAGATGAAAACAATTATGACACTTGCAAAATCTTCATTTTTAAGATAGGTAAATAAGTTTCTGTGAAAAAGAAAGTGACACACATTCATCTGCTGGTTTTTCTTTTAAAGAAAAAGTCATGCTGGATGATGCCAACATTTACTCAATGTCATCAATTCCAAATGTTTTAAGCAAGTGAAGATACCTGCGATACTCTTTGGCAACACTTGTGAATAATAAGATTTCCTTTCCTTAACCATTCTTAAGAAAATCAAGAAGGCAAAATTTAGGATGTAGAAAGGAACTTTCTTTAGTAATTTTATGGCTCAAATCTGCAGGCCTGTGAAGCAGAGTATGAGGAGTTTAGCCAAGTTTCGTTCCATTGCAGAAAGTCCTGAAAGGACTTTAGGGAGAGTATTGACAAGCCAACCCTGGAAACAGGGTTAGGTTAGGATTCACCTGGGAGGAAACAGTGTTGGCACCAGGATGCCCATTAACGTAGTTGTAGTAGATAAATGTAATTCCAGATCTAAGGCTCTGACTAAAAGGATGTCATGGAAGGAAAAGGTATGTTGTAAATGAAAAGGGATCAAGAAACAGATTTGACAGGCATTGAAATAGTAATGGCAAGCTAAATCTTTATTATAAGACTTCTCGAAAAATTTTTATTCACCTTGATGAGAAAACTTGATAGGAGAATAACTCCTAGAAGGATGACAGATGCCTCAATTTTCATCATGTTTAAGTTGGTAAGTGAACCAGTTTGAAATGTCATGTAAATTGAAAGTGATATGAAATTGAACAAAGGAATGAGTTTACTGCCTATGTAATAAACTGAATTATGACACAGAAAAAATATGACCTAGTTTCCTGATATGTAGGTAGAAAATTATTATCTGTTTGCATTTTTAATTTAATAAGAATATGCATTCTAAGATGATTTAGCAATCTGATTATTACAATGACAGGTAGCTTTAAATCAGGAGCTTATAATATATTTTTCAGTCTCAAAACTATTTGATGTACTGTCAAGGGAATGTCAGTGTTTGATTCTAATCCAGTGCTGTCTGGTATCTTGTGTGTTATTTGGTTTTATAAGTTCAAGACGTCATAGTGTACAGCTTTTTAAAAGCCTGTAGGGAAGACTTCAAGTTCTTTTCATTCTCAGCAGTACCTTGTTTTCTTGCTTCCCATTTTCCTAGGAAAGTGACAATATTGGAGGACCCTGATCAGAACATTCACCTGAAAAACTTATCTCTTCATCAGGCAACCACAGAGGAAGAAGCTCTGAATTTGCTCTTTTTAGGAGACACCAACCGAATGATTGCAGAGGTAATAAACTTCCCTCTGCAAGCTGTTTTTCCAACATTGTAAGAAATAGTATCTGAAACCCAGGTGTAGAAAAAAATATATAGTAGAAATTTAGGGGTAACACTAACCTTAAAAACAATCTTATCCAAATCTCACATGCAGATAAAGAAGCCCAGATCTAGAGAAGTGAGGAGATTTTTCCTAGGTCACCCAGCTAGCTAATGAGTCAGAACAGGAATTGAGACCTCTGGATTCTCAATCCACTGCTTTTTCTATTTTAGTGTATTTTTATATTTTTAGGTTTTATACAAATTGGTTTGTAAATTAATGACAACTTATTACATGTCTTAATTATAGGAAGTTTTTTATATTTTCTAAAATTTAAAAATACTCAGCCCATTTTTCCTAACCTGAAGTCATCCAAATGTTGGCATGTGTTTACATATCCATATGTTTTCATTTAGTTAGTGGGTTAATATGTACAAAGTACTTAGAACAATGCACTGGACATAAGACGTACTCTGCATTTGCAGCTATTGTTGGCGTACCTGGGAACACCACCGTAGTGTCAGTGCAATATTTGGAACATACTTACATTAAAAATTATTCATTGTTAATCTGACATTCAAATTTAACTGAGTTCCTATTTTATCTGAGAATTCTATGCAGGAGCTAGGATTGACCCAGCTTCCTCAGGGGCCCAAATTGTAGCTGGTTTCTGACTGCAGATGGAAGGTTATGAAGCTCTCATCCAGCTACACTGTGGTGAGAGGAATGGCTTGGTGGTGGTGCTGATGGTGTGGGAACAGTTCCTCAGATGAACAGCCTGCTGTTATCACTGGCATTTTCTTTTTAAACCATGCTCCCAGAGTTCTATATTTTACCTTGTTTCTGATAACAAGTATTAGGTGAGGGTAGTAATCTGAAAGGTTAAGTAGTCTAAGAAAAATCTCCATCAAGTGACCTTTTATTCAGCCCCATGTCTGCCCTCTGGAATATCCCACCTTAGAGGCAAGATAAACCAATACAAACTAAATTCGGATAGTGAAAGCGTTGCATTGATATCTGTTATTATTTTGGGCCCTTAGTTTTTGTTTTTGTAGCAGTTGTTTACTAGTTCTTCGTCAATACTTTTCAATACACTAGCTAACTTACATAAATTGAGTTTATGTGCCACACATATGGATTTAAGGACCCTTAAATTGTTATTTGTATTTGAAACAACATTCACATAGTTTTAAATATCAGAATACTTTTTTTGCTTTACAATAATATTTTGTATCTGTATTCAGTACTCCAATGTTTTCCCAATTTGATCATTTGTGATGCTCTTGTTTGTCATAATAATTGAAGATCAAGGAATAAAGGTTGAGTAAGAATTAGACCATATAATAACAAAAGTTTTAGCATGCTCCACTAAATCCTGTTCCTCCATATATAGTTTAATAAACAGCAAAACAGAAAATACAGAATAGAGTTGGGTCCTGTCCACAAATGGTTATGAAAAAGAAACAAGATAGATTCATAAACTGCTATACGGAAAACAAGTAGAGGAACCTGTTGCTGCCTCAATGCTAACTGACTCTCTTTCAGAGGTGATTCATCCCTAATGTACAGGCCTCATCCTTACCGATTACTTTCCCTCATCTTCAGTGGGTTATGGAAAGGTCCTTAACCTGTTCTGCCATGACCTCCAGTAGTTTAAAAGCTTAGCCATTTGCTCTTTCAAAGTTATGCATGAACTTTAGCTAACTACAGGGTTTCAGGCTGTGGTTTTGCAACGTTTTAAGAAACTTCTTTTATGAAACTTTCCTGTCTTTTTATTTTTTATTTTATTTTTAAAATTTTTTGAGACAAAATGTCACTCTGTTGCCTAAGCTGAAGTGCCATGGTGTGACGGCTCACCAAAACCTCCACCTCCCGGATTCAAGCCATTCTTGTGCCTCAGCCTCCCGAATAGCTGGGACTACAGTCGTGCCCCACCACACCTGGCTAATTTTTTTGTATTTTTGGTAGAGACGGAGTTTTGCAATGTTAACCAGGCTGGTCTGGAATTCCTGACCTCAAGTGGTCTGCCCACTTCAGTCTCCCAAATGCTGGAATTATAGTCATGAGCCAGCGTGCCTTGCCAGAATTCCAGGTCTTTTCCTATTACTTACTAGTGAGTGTCTAATATTATAAATAGCTGAAACCTGAAGAAGTCCAATCCTAATAATGCTGGTTGTGCATTAATTTTTGTTTAATTTTTTATTTTTCCTATATAAAGCCCAATTTCTACTCGGGAGGCTGAGGCAGGAGAATTGCTTGAACCCAGGAGGCAGAGATTACAGTGAGCCGAGATTGTGCTACTGCACTCCAGTCTGATGCCTGGTGACAGAGCAAGACTCTGTCTCAACAAAAAAAAAAAAAAAAAAAACAAGTTTAGTAGGTTTTGATTGTTTCTGTGCTTGCTTTTATCGTTTCTTTGGTAATAATAATTACCATGTTATAATGAGAACCTGCTTAGTATAAGTCTTGCCATTGTTGTAGACATGTTTTATATATATATATTCTTTCTGATTCTTATTTTATAGATGAAAACTGAGGCTCACAGAGTTAGACTACTTGCCTAAGGCCACACACTGCTGAGTTGTAGAGTCAGGACTCAGCTCCATGTCTGACTGACTCAGAAACTTCCATTCTTTCCTTACGCCAATTTCATGAGTGCAGTAATCAAATTGACATCTGTCAAATGTTTCAAGTGATGATATATTTCTAAATTATTTTAAAAGTATACCCAGTACCTAGCACCTTAGTTTATATCTTGAATGCAGTGAAAGCAAATACATAAAACTATAAATGAAGAGTAACTATCAACCCCTGGAAATTCTTTATTATTCAGAGTCTCTAAAAAAGCATGTTTTGGATTACAAACTAACTGTCAGAATGCAATTTGTCAGCACAGGGCAAGCTTACCAGGATAAAAAGAACGAACTAATCATTTTTTAAGAAAACGAAGTTCCCCATTTCCCATTTACACAGAGGAATCCAGAAGTTGCCATGGTAACCAGAAAACATTTGCAAAACAAAGTCTGAATATGTGGGACACAAAGTGCAGTGCTCTTTCCTTTCATGTTCTTTACTGATAGCCAGCATTTTAAGGAAAAGTTATTAAGAGCAGCTTCAGCCTCTTCTGTTTATTCAGAACTCTTAAGTAATTTCAGCAATCCTACCAATGTTTTGAATAAAACCTGATTATGTCCCTAGGATAAATTTTTTTTTAAAGTTGAATTGCTGGGCCAAAGAGAATAAATATTATAAAAGCTGAACTACGTGTGACCCAACACCCAAGTCCACCAGTAGCGAGTGTAACTTGATACTGTTTTGTCTTATGGTTGAAATATTTCCATCAATTCATCAAATCTAATCGAACAAAGCAGTCTGCATTCAATGATCAGGCCACACATAGTGCCATAAATAGGACCACTTGCCCCTACCTTGAAGGCAGAGTCCTACCCGTGGTCTAGGGCACTCTGTGCCCAAGTATGGTCCTAGGGAAACCTGTATTACAATACCATATGGTAATCAAATGATGCAATTTCTTAGATTACATTTCTGGTTGATGGATGCAGAATCTCTTCCATGGAGCCCAGGAATGTGCATTCTAACATTTTAAATGTGTTCAGGCTAAATTTGGGAGCAATCTAGGCTTTACCCTTAAGAAAGCTAGTTGAACCTGGATTTTTTTGATTGGTAGCCTATTAATTTCTGCCTCAACTTCAGACCTTGTTATTGGTCTATTCAGGGATTCCAGTTCCTCCTGGTTTAGTCTTGGGAGAGTGTAAGTGTCCAGGAATTTATCCATTTCTTCTAGATTTACTGGTTTATGTGCATAGAGTTGTTTGCAGTAATCTGTGATGGTAGTTTGTATTTCTGAGGAATTGGTGGTGATATCCCCTTTATCCTTTTTTATTGCATCTATTCAATTCTTTTCTCTTTCTTTTTTGTTAGTCTGGCTAGCGATCTGTCTATTAGAATGGTGATCATTAAAAAATCTGGAGACAACAGATGCTGGAGAAGATGTGGAGAAATAGGAACACTTTTACACTCTTGATGGGAGTGTAAATTGGTTCAACCATTGTGGAAGACAGTGTGGCGATTCCTCAAGGATCTATAAATAGAAATACCATTTGACCTAGCAATCCCATTACTGGGTATATAACCAAAGGATTATAAATCATTCTATTTTAAAGACACATGCACATGAATGTTCATTGTGGCGCTGTTTACAATAGCAAAGACCTGGAACCAACCCAAATGCCCATCAATGATAGACGGGACAAAGAAAATGTGGCACATATACACCATGCAGCCATAAAAAAGGATGAGTTCATGTCCTTTGTAGGGACATGGATGAATCTGGAAACCATCATTCTCAGCAAACTGACACAAGAACAGAAAACCAAACACTGCATGTTCTCACTCTTAGGCAGGTGTTGAACAATGAGAACACATGGACACAGGGAGGGAAACGATACACCCTAGGGTCTGTGGGGGCGGGGGGGGCTAGGGGAGAGATAGTGGAGGGTGGTGAGGTTGGGGAGGGATAACACTGGGAGACATGCCCGATGTACATGACCGGGGGATGGAGGCAGCAAACTGCCATGGCATGTGTGTACCTATGCCACAATCCTGCAAGATCTGCACATGTACCCCAGAACTTAAAGTATAATAAAAAAAAAGAAAAGAAAAGAAAAGAAAGCTGGTTGAAACCCACTCCTAGAGAAAGAAAAACAAGCAGGTCTATATTCTACACCCTTGTCAACACCACAACTTTTGAAAATTCTGCCGATTTCGTAGACAAAAAAAGAAAGCTTGTTTTAATTTGCATTTTGATTATCAAATTCTTTTACGTCTTTATTGGCCATTACATTTCTGTTTTTGTTCATGTCTTCTATTTATTTTTCTCTTGGAGTGTTAGGGTAGGTCTGATTGATTTGTTGACCCCCAGAGGGCAGGAACTTTGTCCTATTCACCAGTTT